AAAAAAAAAAAAAAAAAAAAGAACATATACAGACAAATTAAAGACTTGGAAAAAGATATTTCATGCAAATGGTAAGCAAAATAAAGCAGGAGTAGCTATACTAATGCCAGATAAAACAGACTAAATCAAAAACTAAAAAGAGACGAAGAAGGTCACTATGTAAAAAGTGGATCAATACAGCAAGAGGATATAACAATTATAAATATATATGTACCCAACATTAGAGCACCCAGATATATAAAGCAAATATTATATCTAAAGGGAGAGATGGACTGTAACATAGTAAGAGTTTGGCACTTCAACATACCATTTTCAGAATTAGATCAACTAAATGGAAAATTAACAAAGAAACATTTACAATGTGCTGTACACCTAAAGGACCTGAACAGAACATTTCATCCTACAGCTACAGAATACACATTCTCCTCAGCACAAGAAGAATTTTCCAGCACAGACCATATGTTAAGCCACAAAACAAGTCTCAACAAAGTACAAATTTTTAAAAATAGAAATCATGCCCGGTGCAGTGGCTCACACCTGTAATCTCAGCACTTTGGGAGGTCGAGGCAGGTGGATCACAAGGTCAGGAGTTCGAGACCAGCCTGACCAACATGGTGAAACCTCATTTCTACTAAAAATACAAAAAAAAAAAAAAAAAATTAGCTGGGCGTGGTGGCACACACCTGTAATCCCAGCTACTCAGGAGGCCGAGGCAGGAGAATTGCCTGAACCTGGGAGGAGGAGGTTGCAGTGAGCCAAGATCATGCACTGCACTCCAGCCTGGGTGACACAGTGAGACTTCGTCTCAAAAAAAACAAAAAACAAAAAACAAAAAAAACATATGAAGTATCTTTGCAGACCACAATGGGATAAAACAATAAATAGCATGAGGAACTTTGAAAACTGTATAAATACATAGATATTAAATAACATGTTCCTGAGTGACCACTGGGTCAAGGAAGAAATTAATGAGGAAATTAAAAAAAAATTTTTTTTTGAGACAGAATCTCACTGTTGCCTAGGCTGCAGGATGGTGGTACCAACATAGCTTACTGCAGCCTCAACCTCCCAGGTTCAAGTGATTCTCCAGTGTAAACCTCCTCAGTAGCTGGGACCACAGCTGTGTGTCACTGTGCACAGCTAATTTTTTATTTTCTATAGCAATGGGGTCTTGTCATGTTGCTCAGGCTGGTCTTCACACTTGGCTCAAGTGATCCTCTTGCCTCAGCTTCCCAAAGAGCTAGGATTATAGGTATGAGCCTCCACACATAGCCAAAAAATCTCTTGAAACAAATAAAAATTAAAACATGACATATTGGCTGGACACAGTGGCTCATGCTTGTAATCCCAGTTCTTTGGGAGGCTGAGGCAGATGATCACTTGAGGTCAGTAGTTTAAGATCAGCCTATGCAACATCGCAAGACTACATCTCTATAAACAACATTTTTTAAATTAGCTGGGCATGGTGGTGTGCACCTTTAGTGCTAGCTACTTGGAAGGCTGAGGCAGGAGGGTCACTCAAGCCCAGGAGTTCAAGGTTAAAGTGAGCTACAATCACACGACTGCACACCAGCCAGAGTGACAGAGCAAGACCCTGTCTCTAAAACAGCAACACACAAAAACCTATGCGATACAGCAAAAACAGTGCTAAGAAGGGAGTTTATAGCAATAAACACCTACATCAAAAAAGTAGAAAGATTTCAAACAATCTAATGATGTACTTGAATGAACTAGGAAAGCAACAAACCAAACCCCAAATTAGTAGAAGTTAAGAAACAATAAAGACCAGAGGACAACTAAACAAACAAAAAAGTAGGCACAGTGGTGCAAACCTGTATCCCAGCCAGTCTGGAGGCTGAGGAAGGAGGATTGTTTTTGCCCAGGAGTTTGAGAACAGCCTGGGTAACATAGCGAGACCCCTTTAAACAACACTACCACCAACAACAAACACCTGGCCAGAGCAATCAGACAAGAGAAAGAAGTAAAGGGCATACAAATTGGAAGAGAAAGTAAAACTGTTGATGTTCAGTGATGAGATGATTGTATACCTAGAAAACCCTAATGACTCATCCAAAAGGCTCCTAGATCTGATAAACTAACTCAATAAAGTCTCCGGATACAAAATCCGTGTACACAAATCAGTAGCACTGCTATACAACAACAATAATCAAGCTGAGAATCAGATCAACGCTATCCATTTTACAATAGCTGCAAAAAGTAAAATAAAATACCTACGAATATACTTAACCAAGGTGGTGAAAGATCTTTATAAGGAACACTATAAAACACTGCTGAAAGAAATCATAGATGACACAAATGGAAACTTCACATTCCATGATTATGGATGGATAGAATCAATATTGTGAAAATGACTACACTGCCTAAAGCATTTTACAGATTCAATGCAACGCCCATCAAAATATCATCATTTTTCTTCACAAAACTAGAAAAAACTATCCTAAAATTTATATGGAACCTGAAAAGAGCCTGCACAGCCAAAGCAACATTAAGCAAAAACAACAAATCCAGAGGCATCACATTACCCAACTCAACCGTACTACAAGGCTATAGCTACCAAAACAGCATAGTACCAGTATAAAACAGGCATGTAGACCAATGCAATAGAATAGAGAACACAGAGATAAAACCAATACAGCTAACTGATCTTTGACAAAGCACACAAAAACATAAATTACGGAAGAGATACCCTATTCAATAACTGGTACCGGAAAATCTGGCAAGCCACATGTAGAAGAATGAAACTGGATCCTCATCTCTCACCTTATACAAAAATCAAATTTAGATGGATCAAAGACTTAAATCTAAGACCTGAAACCATAAAAGTTCTAGAACATGAGAAAAACTCTTCTGGACATTAGCTTAGGCAAAGAACTCATGACTAAGGCCCCAAAAGCAAATGCAACAAAAACAAAAATAAATAAATGAGACCTAATTAAACTAAAAAGTTTCTGCACAGCAAAATAAATAGCAGGTTACAAAGACAGTACACAGAGGGGGATAAAATATTTGCAAACTACACATCTAACAAAGAACTGGGCGTGGTGGTTCATGTCTGTAATCCCAGAACTTTGAGAGGCCGAGGCAGACGGATTACCTCAGGTCGAGAGTTCGAGACCAGCCTGACCAACTTGGAGAAACCCCATCTCCACTAAAAATACAAAATCAGCCAGGTATAGTGGTGTATGCCTGTAATCCCAGCTACTCGAGAGGCGGAGGCAGGAGAATCACTTGAACCTGAGGCGGAGGTTGCAGTGAGCTGAGATTTCGCCATTGCACTCCAACCTGGGCAACAAGAGTGAAACTCTGTCTCTAAATAAATAAATAAATTAATTAAATAATCCCATCAAAAAGTGGGTAAACGACATGAATAGACAATTCTCAAAAGAAGATATACAAACAGCCAACAAACATAAGAAAAATCCTTAACATCACTAATTATCAGAGTAATGCAAATTAAAACCACAATACCACCTTACTCCTACAAGAATCGCCATAATTAAAAAGTCAAAAACCAATAGATATTTGTATAGATATAGCATAAAGGGAATATTTTTTACACCTCTGGAGGGAATGTAAACTAGTACAACCACTATGGAAAACAGTATGGAGATTCCTAAAAGTAGAATTACCATCTGATCCAGCAGACTACTGAGTATCTACCCAAAGGAAAAGAAGTCATATGAAAAATCACATGCACATACATGTTTACAGTAGCACAGTTCACAACTGCAAAGATAATGGAACAAATCTAAGTACTTACCAAGCAACAAGTAAAGAAAATGTGGTATATATACACCATGGAATACTACTCAGCCACGGAAAGGAATAAAATAATGTCTTTTGCAGCAAGTTTAATGGAGCTGGAGGCCATTATTCTAAGTGAGGTAATCAGGAATGGAAAACCAAAGATAACATGTTATCACTTATAAGTGGGAGCAAAGCTATCAGGATGCAAAGGCAGAAAAATGATATAATGGACTTTGGGGATTCAGAGGGGGCAGTGAGGAATAAAAGACTACATATTGGCATAAAAGCAGCGTACTTTGCTTGAGTGATGGGTGCACCAAAATCTCAGAGGCCACCAATAAAGAACTTATCCATGTAACCAAAAACCATGTGTACCCCAAAAACTATTGAAATAAAGAAAAGTTGGCTTTTAAAAACAGATAAACAAAATGGATAAACTGTTAGCTAGACTAATCAAGAAAAAAAGAGAAAATCCAAATAAGAAAAGAAATGAAAATGGAAACATTACAACTGATACCACAGAAATATAAAAGATTATGAGATATTAACAATGGAACACAAGCTGAAAAACCTAGTGGAAATGAATAAATTCCTGAACATATAGAATCTACCAAGATTGAATAAAAAAGACATAGAAAACCTGAACAGACCAGTTACAAGTAATGAAGTTGAAACAGTAATTTTTAAAATCTCTGAACAAACAAATGTGCATGACTGGATGGCTTAACTGCCAAATTCTACCAAACTTTCTAAGAACTAACACCAATTCTCCTCAAAACTATTCCCAAAAATTAAAGAGGGAATTCTCCATAACTCATTTTACAAGGCCAGCATTACCCTGATACTAAAACCAGACAGAGACTCAACAAAAAAAGTACAGGCCAACATCCCTGAAGAACATACACACAAAGCTCCTCAACAAATACTAGCAAACCCAATCCAACAGCATATCAAGAAGATAATACACTATGATCAACTAAGATTTATTCCAGGGATTCAAGGATGATTCAATATATGCAAATCAATAAGTGTGCTATATCACATCAACAGAATGAAAGACAAATACTGTATCACCATCTCAATAGACGCAGAAAAAGGATTTAATAGGAGGCTGGCACCATGGGGTTATCGAAGCAGCTGTCACGATGCTGGGGTTCCTGGTGTTGAAGAGAAAAGCACCGGCGCCACGGCTACTCCACCAGCTACTCAGGTCCCCAGTGCTCCAGGGTCATGGAGGTGCTTTCGGCCGGAATGTGACCACTGGGGGTCTCTGGGAGCCTCAGTGGCTGAGGGCAGCCTCCTGGGGGCGCCCTGGAACATCGTTGGCCTTGTTCTCCGGACTCGGGGCAGCCACTGGGGGGCGCCATGGAGGACGTCTCAATACCAAATGCCTCACGGCTGCCATTTGGGTGCACCTTCCCGGCCCCGAAGAAACACTCCCAGGACAGGACAGCCAGACCGAGGTCCCCAACAGGGCTGGACTGGGCATGAGGACCCTCGCCACAGCGCTGGTGGCTCATTGCTACAGCAAGAGTCCGTCCAACAAGGATGCAGCCCTGATGGAAGCTGCCCGTGCCAACAATCCACATGAAGTCAGCAGACTGCTGTCAGAAGGCTCAGATGTCAATGCAAGGCATAGACTTGGCTGGACAGCACTCGTGGTGGCAGCCATCAACCGAAATGACAGTGTGATACAGGTCCTGCTTGCTGCCGGGGCTGATCCAAACCTTGGAGACGATTTCAGCAGTATTTACAAGACTGCCAAGGACCAGGGAATCCATTCTTTGGAAGTCCTGGTCACCCAAGAGGATGACTTCAACAACAGGCTGTCCTTGCTGATGACTACCGCACTATCAAGGAGCTGCTTGATGGAGGAGCCAACCCCCTGCAGAGGAATGAAATGTGACACACACCCTTGGATTATGCCCGAGAAGGGGAAGTGATGAAACTTCTGAGGACTTCTGAAGCCAAGTACCAAGAGAAGCAGTGAAAGCGTGAGTCTGAGGAGCGGCGCCACTTCCCCCTGGAGCAGTGACTGAAGGAGCACATCATTGGCCAGGAGAGCCCCATCGCCACAGTGGGTGCTGCGATCTGGAGGAAGGAGAATGGCTGGTACGATGAAGAACACCCTCTGGTCTTCCTCTTCTTGGGATCATCTGGAATAGGAAAAACAGAGCTGGCCAAGCAGACAGCCAAATATATGCACAAAGATGCTAAAAAGGGCTTCATCAGGCTGGACATGTCTGAGTTCCAGGAGCGACACGAGGTGGCCAAGTTTATTGGGTCCCCACCAGGCTACGTCGGCCATGAGGAGGGTGGCCAGCTGACCAAGAAGTTGAGGCAGTGCCCCAATGCTGTGGTGCTCTTTGATGAAGTAGACAAGGCCCATCCAGATGTGCTCACCATCATGCTGCAGCTGTTTGATGAGGGCAGACTGACAGATGGAAAAGGGAAGACCATTGATTGCAAGGGCGCCATCGTCATCATGATCTCCAATGTGGCCAGCGATGAGATCGCACAGCACGCACTGCAGCTGGGGCAGGAAGCTTTGGAGATGAGCCATAACCATATTGCCGTAAACCTGGGAGATGTCCACATAAGTGACAAGATCACCATCTTAAAGAACTTCCAGGAGAATGTGATTCGCCCTATCCTGAAAGCTCACTTCCGGAGGGATGAGTTTCTGGGACGGATCAATGAGATCGTCTATTTCCTCCCCTTCTGCCACTCAGAGCTCATCCAACTCGTCAACAAGAAACTAAACTTCCAGGCCAAGAGAGCCAAGCAAAGACACAACATCATGCTGCTCTGGGACCGCGAGGTGGCAGACGTGCTGGTCGACGGCTACAACGTGCACTATGGCGCCCGCTCCATCAAACATGAGGTAGAGCGCCCTGTGGTGAACCAGCTGGCAGCAGCCTATGAGCAGGACCTGCTACCAGGCGGCTGCACTCTGCGCATCACAGTGGAGCACTCAGACAAGCAGCTACTCAAGAGCCCAGAACTGCCCTCACCTCAGGCTGAGAAGCGCCTCCCCAAGCTGAGGCTGGAGATCATCGACAAGGACAACAAGACTCGCAAACTGGACATCTGGGCACCAATGCATCCTGAAAGGGTGTGTAACATCATCTAGCAGCCACCTGCCTGCCTATATGCACCCTCACCATCCAATAAAAGCCCCTCTGCTGTGGCCAAAAAAAAAAAAAAAAAGGATTTAATAAAATTCAACATCCCTTCATGATACAAATTCTTGGCCAGGTGTGGTGGCTCACGCCTGTAATCCCAGCACTTTGGGAGGCTGAGGCGGGCAGATCACCTGAGGTCAGGAGTTCGGACCAGCTTGACCAACATGGAGAAACCCCATGTCTACTAAAAATACAAAACTAGCTGAGCATGGTAGCGCATGCCTGTAATCCCAACTACTTGGGAGGCTGAGGCAGGAGAATTGCATGAACCTGGGAGGGGGAGATTGTGGTAAGTCAAGATCGTGCCATTCCACTCCAGCCTGGGCAACAAGAGTGAAACTCTGTCTCAAAGAAAAAAAATTCAGAACAAACTAGACATAGAAGAAATGTATGTCAACATAATAAACGCCATATATGACAAACATACAGTTAACATCATAAAGAATAAGGAAAAGCTGAATGCCTTTTCCCTAAGAATCAGAAGAAGTCAGGGATGCTTACTTTCAGCACTCCTAGTCAACACAGTACTGGAAATCCCAGCCAGAGCAATTAGGCAAAAGAAAGAAATAAAACACATCCAGCCAGAATACAATTTATATGCCTTACTGGCACCATTAAACTTTTTAAAAATTTAAAATAAATAAATAAAAGGTATCCACATTGTAAAGGGGGAGGTCAAATTGTACCTCTTTGCAGATGACATAATCTTGTATCTAGAAGAACAACCTAAAGACTCCACCAAAAAAATTATTAGATCTGATGAGTAAATTTGGTAAAGTTGTAAGATATAAAATCAGCATACAAATATCAGCAGTGGTTTTGCTTTTTTAAATATGGGGTTTTGCTATGTTGCCTAGGCTGGTCTTGGACTCCTGGGCTCAAGCGATCCCCCCATCTTGGCCTCCCAAAAGGCTAGGATTACAGGCATGAGCCACAGTGCCCGACCTCAAAAATCCATAGTGTTTCTACACACCAATAATAAACTAGCTGAAAAAGAAATCAAGAAGGCAATCCTACTTACAATAATTACAAAAAAATTAAAATACCTAGAAATAAATTTAACCAAGGAGGTGAAAGACCTCTGTAAGGAAAAGTGCCAGATATTGATAAAGAAACTGAAAAGGACACAAACAAATGGAAACACATCCCATGCATATGGAGCAGAAGAATTAGTATTATTAAAATGACCATACTGTCCAAAGCATTCTACAGATTGAATACAATCCGTATCAAAATATCAATGCAATTTTTCCCATAAATAGGAAAAAACAATCCTAAAATTCATGTAGAACCAAAAAGAGCCCAAATAGCCAAAGGAATCCAGAGCAAAAAGAAAAGAGCTTGAGGCACCATACTCCCTGACTTCAAAATACATTACAAGCCTATAGTAACCAAGACAGCATGGTATTAGTTTAAAAACAGAAACAGAGACCGGTGGAGCAAAACAACACAGACAGAAATCCACATATTTACAGCTGTCTGATTTTCGACAAAGGTGGGAAGAACACACACTGGGTAAAGAACACTCTTTTCAATAAATTGTGCTAGGAAAACTGGATATGCATATGCAGAAGAATGAAAGAGGACCCCCTACCTCTCACCACAACCAAAAACCAGTTTAAGATGGAGTAAAGACGTAAACATAAGTCCTGAAACTATAAAACTACTAGAAGTTTTATGTGAGAAATATGTTTTATATGAACAACACCAGGACATAAATCTAGGCAAAGATTTTATGGCTAGGACCTCAAAAGCACAGGCAACAAAAATGAAAATAGACAAGTGGGACCATACTAAACTAAAAATCTTCTGCACAGCAAAGGAAACAATAGACTGAAGAAAAATCCTGTTGAATGGGAGAAAATATCTGCAAACTATTCATCTGACAAGGGACTAATATCCAGAATATACAGGAAGTCAAAGAACAGTAAAACAGCAACAACAAATAATCTCATTAAAAAGTGGGCAAAGTACATGGATGGATAGACATTTCTTTTTTTTAATTTACTTTTTTTTTTTTTTTGTAAGATTGGTTTCCATTTTTTTTTTTTTTTTTTTTTTTTTTTTTCTTCAAGTGATCTGCCTGCCTCTGCCTCCCAAAGCGCTGGGATTACAGGTGTGAGCCACCGCGACCGGCTATGAATAGACATTTCTTAAAATAAGACAGACAAATGGCCAACAGGAAATGTTCAACATCACTAATCATCAGAGAAAAGCATATCAGAATCATAATGAGGGGCTGGGTGCGGTGGTTCATGCCTGTAATCCCAGCACTTTGGGAGGCAGAGGCAGGCAGATCACTTGAGGCCAAGAGTTCGAGACCAGCCTGGCCAACATGGGGAAGCCCTGTCTCTACTAAAACACCAAAAGCAATGGCAACAAATGCCAAAATAGACAAATAGGATCTAATTAAACTTCAGAGGTTCTGTACAGCAAAAGACAGAATCATTAGAGCAAACGCAACCAACAGGATGGGAAAAAATTTTTGCAGGCTACCCATCTGACAAAGGGCTAATGTACAGAATCTACAAAGAACTGAAACAGATTTACAAGAAAAAAACAAAGCCATCCAAAAGTGGGAGAAGGATATGAAAGACACTTTTCAAAAGAAGACATATTTGAAGCCAACAAACATATGAAAAAATGCTCATCATCACTGGTCATTAGAGAAATGCAAATCAAAATCACATTGAGATACTATCTCACGCTAGTTAGAATGGTGATCATTAAAAAATCTGGAGACAACGGATGCTGGAGAGGATGTGGAGAAATAGGAACACTGTTACACTGTTGGTGGGAGTGTAAATTGGTTCAACCATTGTGGAAGACAGTGTGGCGATTCTTCTAGGATCTAGAAGTAGGAATTCCATTTGACCTAGCAATTCCATTACTGGGTATATACCCAACGGACAATAAATCGTTCTATTTCATTTAAACCTGTAAATACGTGTGATGTAGTACTGATAAGAGTGTATATTTTGTGTATTTAAAGTCGAGAGTTCTATCAATGTTAATTAAGTTTACTTGTTCCGGATCTGAGTTCAAGTCCTGAATATCGATAGTAACTTTCTGTCTCATTGATCTGTCTAATATTGATGTTGAAGTCTCCCACTATTACTGTGTGGGAGTCTAAGTCTCTTTATAAGTCTTATATATCTGGGTATTCCTGTATTGGGTGCGTATATATTTAGGATCTTTAGCTCTTCTCATTGCATTAATCCTTTTATCATTATGTAATATTCTTCTTTGCTTCTTTTGATCTTTGTTGCTTTAAAGTAACTCCTGCTTTTTATTTATTTATTTATTTATGCTCTCCATTTGGTTGGTAAATCTATTTGAGACTCTGTCTCAAATAAATAATAATAGAGCAGCAGAGCCTAGCGGGCAGGTGGCCAGCGGCGCGTGGCGGAGCGTGGGCGGCCGGCGAAACTCCAAGGGCTGACCGCGTAGGGGAGCGATCCACCCCAGGCTGCAGGAGCCAGAGACCGCAGCGGCTGCGGCTGCTGCACGAAGAGCCCAGGGGACACTGCCCCTGCCTGCACTCTGCCTTGGGCCATCGCTACTCCCCAGGGGTCCGTGCGGACTCACCTCTGTAAAGTGTCACGATGTCTTATGTCTGATCAGAAGGCAGTAATCAAGAACGCAGACATGTCTGAGGACATGCAACAGTATGCTGTTGGCCGCGCCACGCAGGCCAGGCCGAAGTACAACTTAGAGAAGGCCATTGCTGCCTATATCAATAAGGAATTTGACAAGAAATATAACCCTACCTGGCATTGTTTCGTGGGCCGAAAATTTGGCAGCTATGTCACACACGAGACAAAGCGCTTCATCTATTTTTATTTGGGTCAAGTTGCAATCCTCCTCTTCCAAGTCAGGCTAGTTGGCCGTGGTGAAGGTGTCAGTGGCTGTGGCAGCGATGGCAAGCAGGCGGTGTTGCTGGGACTGTTTTGCACTGGGGCCAGCATCAGGATATCCTCTCTAATGGCTGTTCTACCCTACTGCATGGACTGTATACTCTATTTCTTGTGTACGTCGCAGTAAACAAAACCAAACCTCTTTCTGTTTTGTTGCCTGGGGAAGGCTGCGTTATGCTTATTTTTCAAGATTTTAAAAATATTTTTTTTCGGTTGTATTGCACTAGGAAATCTCTCTCACCTCATTTTCTCTCTTTCCCTATACAAAATAAAAAGCCCTCCACAAAGACTAGGTGGCCGAAAGACTAGGAGGGCTGGTGAAACTATAACTGTGCAGCTGCCTTTTCCTGGCGGCGGTTGCTGCTTTGGGAGGGCCAGGGAGGCTGCAGGGGGACAGTATTGGTATTGTCAAGGAGAAAGGGATAGGAAGGAAAGTGGAGGGATTGATCTAGTACCAGGGAGAATATTCCACTGAACTGTGATTCTATGGCTTGGGGCAGAGGGTGGGGTGGAGATGCAGTCTTTAGGGGGCCCTGAGAGGTGTTTGTGGTGTGTGGGAGCGGGGAGCAAACTTGTCATGCTGTCTGTGTCAGAATTTCTAAGTAATGGCTGTGTCTTAGTGCATGATCTTTTGTTCCTCCTGCAAGAGATCATAATAGGAGGATGTTGGTGGCAGGATTCACTTTTTTTTTTTTTCCTTTACATTCTTCTGTCTGCTCCCTGCTTAGCCCTCAGTTTTCTCATTCCTCTGCAGTTCTCTTAGAGCAGCCCCTGTTGTTAGTTGGCTGGTAAGGGAATTTAAGGTGACTGTAGTTCCTTAGTTAAGTCTTAGCAATCAAACCAAATCAATGTCTCCCTTGAGCCTCCTGTGTATATGTGTGTGTTTGGAGTGGAGAGGGGTGAGGGGAGGGAGTGGGGAGGACCATTTGGAATCTCTAAGGTGTATGGGTAGGTAGGGGGCAAATTAGTTCTAAGTGGGCTTTTATGTTAAAAGCCTCTGGGGATATCTGTTTTAGAAGTAAAGATAGGTGTCATTGCTGTCATTTAGCCCAGACACTCTTGCTTGCTCTCTGGCTATCTTCTCCCTGGGAAGGCTTTAGGAGGACCACCCAGGACAGGATGACCATGCTACCATCTGCTTTGGAGCTGGGCCTCAGGGCAGAGGGACAGTGACTGTGGATGTTTGCAGTCTCTGGTGGGAGGTGAGGATGGATGTGATAAAGAGCTGAGAGGAGCTTCTGGGGAACCTTGGAAAAGGTCAGTCTTGCAGTGATGAAGCCAGGTAGCAGAAGATGGAACAAGGCCATGAGGGCATGAGGGAAGGAGATTTCAAGGAGGATGAGGGGAAATCTTGTCTCTTAATGAAATAGGAGTGGGGTGGGGTTTAGGGTTGGGTGGTCATTGCTATTTGAGTTGCTGATTCTTATGAATGGCCTTCAAAACTCTCACGTGTAGGGTTGACAGTGTAAGGGGTGGGGGGACCCAGCTTATTTTATTTTCAAGTCCATTCTTGGGGCTGGTGGAGAGGCAGGAGAATGCCCCTCCCTAATCCCTTAGTGTGTGCAGAGCTTGCTTTTTGATGGTGGTAGGGGAGGAGGGACCTGGGTGGCGACTGAGGTCCCTATATCAAACCCTTCAATAGGCACAGAATTGAGTGCTTGATTTTAGGTTTTATATTTTTACGAATGTCCAAATCTGTTTCCCCCTGACCTCCCAGATTTCGTGGCCAGTTGAAAGTGTCTGGTTTGTGTTCATCTCTCCCTCATTTCTGGAGCAGGGCCTGAGATGCTGCCATATCTCCTATGCTCTGCATCCACGCCTCTTTTGGACTTTAATTGATCCAAAAAAATAATAATACATCATAATGAGGTATCATTTTACCTTAGAATAAGAATTATTAAAAAAACCAAAAAATTACATTTGCTGGTAAGGATATATAGAAAAGGGAACTCAAACTGTTCATGGAAATGTAAATTGGTTCAGCCACTATGGAAAACAATACAGAAGAAAACTAAAAATAGAACTACCAAAAAGTAAAACAAAAACAAAAACAATACAAAACAAAAAAAGATACAAAAAAAGAAAAAAAAAAAAGAACTACCATACCACCTAGCAATTTTTCTACTGGGCACTTATCCAAAGGAAATCAGTAGACCAGAAGGATACATGCACTTCCATGTTTCTGACAGCTGTACTGATAACAGCAAAGATAATCAACCTACATGTCTATCAACAGATAAACAAAGGAAATGTGATATACATACACAATGGAGGACTATTCGGCCATAAAAAAGAATGAAATCATGCTATTTGTGGCAACATGGATGGAACTGGAGGACATTAAGTTAAATAAGCCAGGCACAGACCCATATTACTTGTTCTCACTTATATGTGGGAGCTGAGAAAGTTGATTTCATGGAAGTGGAGTAGAGTGATAGCTATCAGAGGATAGGTAGGGCATATGAGTGGGAGTGGCTATGAAGAGAGGTTGGTTAATGGGTATAAACATACAGTTAGATAGAATAAGTTCTAATGTTTGATACAAAGTAGCATGACTATAGCTAATAGTTAACAACAATGTATTATATATTTCAAAATAACTAGAAGAAAGGACTTGGAATATTCCTAATATATAGAAATAAATATTCAAGGTGATGGATACCCCAACTACTCTAAACTGATCATCACACATTCTATGCATGTAACAATATCACATGTGCCCCATACATATGTACAAATACTGCATATTAATTAAAATTTGAAAAGCATGACCAAGGTATGTGCTGTTAATGAGAAACCCATTTTAAATATTAAGGTAGGTTAAAAGTGAAAAAATGAGGGGTAAAAACAACAGTGCATGCAAACACTGGCAAACTCCAAACAAGCTCCATCAATAGTTTAGTAATAGTATTGTAGCACTGTCAACTTCAAGGTTTCAGTAATAAGGTTATTTAAAACGCTATATTTGGGGGAAGCTGGGTGAGAGTATACAGAACTCTTCTCATGTCTTTACCAGTATCTAGAAAACTATAACAGACTATCCTGTTAGATTGTAAATAGGGTAAAATCTAATAGCAGACCTAGCAGTTTCGCTGATAAAGAAATGATGCTGATAGACATGGCTTTCTGGATTAGGAAGGACAAGTCTCTTCAGGCCAGTTCAAGAAAATAAGACTCCCAAGATCCAGTAATGAACACTATTGCCCAATTGTCAGGAGACCCTACTTCTTCCCGTTTAGAGCTGCTAGAAGCAGGACTGAAATAAGTCACCCAAATTGTAGCTTAATTGTTGCCCATTCTCTTCCAGGCAGAAAGAAGAAATGTTATCATGACATTGGAGCAGCAAGTCCCACGGCCCCAGCTAAAAGGCAGTATGGCTGTGGCTGCTGAGGTGGAGAGTCCTCAAAGGTAAATTAATGTCAGCAATGAAGGCTTCACTATTCAATATAGAGCTCTGAGTGACCTGAAGACAGAAGTTAATTTGGTTGAATTAAGCATGAGTGGCCACCTAAAAGTGAGTGAAGGAAAAGCCTTGCCTAATAGTATAAAGCTCAATACCTGGTCCTGTCAATAGTCCAACCTGGTTTATAACCAGGACAGGGCTCTGGGTGCCAGGGTGGACTGCAGGGCAGAACACAGTGGCATGAGCATGGACAGAAAGGGAGTCTGAACCATAATCCCGAAAGACATCCTGAATGCCATAATCTCAAATACTGAAATCCTGAAAGATCAAAATCTCTTCAGTCTAAATATATAGAAAATTGTAATCCCCAAATTTCAAAATCTTGAAAATATAATGCAGGGGGAAAAATCTTAAAAATTATTTTTTAAAAATATTTACATTTTTAAAAGGGGATTTATTTGAGAAACAGAAAAACATGAGAGAACACTTTGTAGGCCACTTCACACAACGAAATAGGCAATAACGTATTTTTAGGTATACAAATGACAATTGCGTGGATATAACACTTATAAGCAGATGAACTATATTCATAAATGGGTGAAAAAGCAAAATATATAAATGCATATCACTGGTTAATTGTGTACACCCAGCTTTATAACTGCAGTCATCTGAAATACAATGATAGGCAACATAAGTCTTCTGACGAGATCAATCAAAAACTTCAATGGGGGCCAGGTTCAGTGGCTTATGCCTGTAATTTCAGCACTTTGGGAGGCTGAGTTCCCAAAAATTGATGCTTCAGGTCAAGAGTTCGAGACCAGCCTGGTCAACAAGATGAAACCCTGTCTCTACCAAAAATACAATACCTATGATCCCAGCTAGAGGCCGAGGCCGGAGAATCACTTGAACCCAGGAGGCAGAAATTACAGTAAGCCAAGATCACACCACCGTACTCCAGCCTGGGCAACAGTGCAAAGAATCCATTTCAAAAGAAAACAACAAAAAAAACCCCAAAAAACAGAACTTGGCCGGGCATGGTGACTCACGCCCACAATTCCAGCACTTTGGAGGGCTTTGGGAAAACTGAAACTGTTAGGGGTCAGACAGAGGTGAGCTGGCAGGTCAAACAGTCAAAGCTTTAATCACTTACTGAAATAGGAAGAGGTTAAACTAGAGAAAGCACCAACTCTCTTCTGTTCTATCCCAGCCCCCAAGTTTTTGATCAGGAGCTGGACACCTCAAAAATAATGTCACCAGAGCTCTTTAGACCAATTCATTATATGTATAATAGAACTCATATATTTTATGACTGCACTTCTTAGTCTACATCTTATTCCATCTCACTCTTAAGAAGTACTGCACAGACTTACCCCTCCAACCCAGGGGGTCCAGAAGAAGTAATAGAGATCTCTAGGAGGAGAAGTTTCAAAGACTTAATGGCTGCCTGAGTACTCAGAGAGGCAATGGCTCAGCGCTAACAATCCCAACAACTGCCTGACCGAGCCACCATGTACGTCTTAATATGTTAACAAAAGAAGGCAGCTATTAACCTGCTAAGCTTTTGTTGAAACTTCATGTGAGTTATGTTGGTCTTGTGACTCTTTGGCCTGACATTCCCATTTTGGGGTGGGTCAACTTGGACATGATGACTAACAAGGTGAAAATAATCTAACAAGCCTCACTAGTCAAAGAGAAATAGGATACCTGGCCATAGCAGTTTTCTTTGGTGCTACATGAAAAAATGGCAGCTATCCTTTTGGAGGTAAACTGTATGGTCAACTCCACTGCCCAAAGCAATGCCACTGGTTCAGTGGGGACTTTAACTTAGTTTCCCCTAAATTTCTAGGGCTACTTCACAAGTTGTTTGGCTACGATGAAACATAACGGAGTCCCATGAGCTGCTGCTGCTGTGCCAGCAATGTAAAACCAAAAGGAGACATGGTTGCTCCTCTCAATTACCAGAACTCAAGGCAGTCCCCATGGCTCTGGCCAGCACTCCCCCTGATGAACCTCACTATGTTTTAATTAGCTTTGGAGCTGTTGCCAATGATCTATCAGGTCTGCCACATGAAATCATATAGACTGGCAGATTAAATCCACTTTGGCCATTAAACTCAGAGAAATTGCTTAACTTTTCCAATAATTAAATAAATGAATATTCAAACTAGATACTTTTTTTTTTTTTTTTTAATGAAGATGGGGTTTCACCATGTTGGGCAGGCTGTTCTTGAATTCCCAACCTCAGGTGATCTGCCCACCTTGGCCTCCAAAGTGCTTGGATTACAGGCGTGAGCCACCGCGCCCGGCCTAGATACCACTTCTTATACCGGCAAACCTTGGAGATATGGCAGACTCAGTTCCAGACCATTGTGATAAAGTGAGTCACACAAATTTTTGGGTTTCCCAGTGCATATAAAAGTATGTTTACGGGCCCGGCGTGGTGGCTCACACCTGCAATCCCAGCACTTTGGGAGGCCGAGATGGGTGGATCACCTGAGGTCAGGAGTTCAAGACCAGCCTGGCCAACATGGTGACACCCCATTTCTATATTTAAAAAAAAGTATGTTTACACTATACTGTAGTCTATTAAATGTGCAACACCATGTTGTCTAAAGGAACAATGTACATACTTAATTTAAAAATATTTGCTAAAAAATGCTGACAGAGAGACATGACATGAGCACATGCTGTTGGAAAATGATGCCAGTATAGACTTGTTCAATGCAGGGTTGCCACAAATCTTCAATTTGTCACAAAATAAATAAATAAATAAATAAAATACAGTATCTGCAATATAAAGCAAAGTATTTGCAAAATAAAGCAAAGTAGAATAAAATGAGGTATGCCTGCAATGACAAAAATGAAAAGCTCAGCAATATCCAGTATTGGCCAGGGAATGGATGTAAGTTACTTTTAAACACTGTTCCTGGCATGTAAATTGGTGCAATCCTTCTAAAAGGCAACTTAACTGAAAATGCACATACACATTGACTGAAGGATCCCAAATCTAAATAGATACTAAAGAGAAAGAATCAAACATATATAAAAGGGATGTGCTAGCAGGTTGATGAAAGTGGGGATAACATGCCATTAAATTTTACTTATGCCCTCTCCCATTACCTACTATTATATTTCACTGTAATTCTCACCAAACTTATGGAATCTGTATCTGTACCTACCATTTTTTACTGTTTTCCCCAGGATTCCATAGAAACCTTTTTCAAAGGGTCACCATAAGATTATTAAAACTAATGTCCTGTTAATAATCCTCATTTTTTCTCTCACTATATAGCAGTCAACACAGACAGAAATTACATTTATGGTAATTGTCTATCATGTGCTTTCATACACACAAAAATACATATATAAGCTCATATGACCTAATTTAAAAAACCATTTGAAATAGATGATATTAATCCTATCTTACAGGTGAGGAAACAAGCTAAGAGTAGCTTGCCTGAGATCAAAAACAATCATAAGTGCTCATCCCACTAATGGCTGGTCCTACAACTGTCTTCTACTAGTTCCTTTTATAGTTCTGTTTCTATTATTTAACAAAACTAAAAAACAAGATTATTCTTTTTCCTCAGTGGATTCTGGCTTTAATACAGTGAACTTGAATGAAACAAAGTGAAAATAATTAGTATGAGACCTGGCATATCATAAGGCCAAGTACTCACATTACTGACTTTCTAGAAGCATATAAAAATAGACTAATCCAAGAGTTTAAAAGTATATCTGCTCAACTCATTAAAATTAGTAGTGATCTACAGTTACACTAACTTAGAGGAAAACAACAAAGCAACTATCGTTTTGTAGCAATTGGCAGACTTTAATATTCAAGAAAAATTAATTTCATCATACACATTAAAAATATAGGAAATTTCATGCAGACATGAAGCTTCCAATTCAGCTTTTGTGGCAACTTTCAGAATGAGAGTTACATATAAATACAGTACATTTACAATTATGTACCAAACTTCATAATTTTATACTGTGAATTATACATCTTTTCCTTATATTGTACATATTCCACCTTGCTCACTTGATTAGCATACCCTCTATCTGCACTGCTTCAGAATATGGAAATTAAAGGGAAAAAAAGCAAGCACAATGAACTAACTCCTCCCATTTCATGAAGTAAATGAAAATGTTTGTGTATACAGCTAATTTAAGAAAAACATTTTAAACTTTAAGGCTTATATACTTTAGTAGCTAGGACTAAAATTAAGAAATACAAAATTAAATAAGTCCTCCAGTGATACTTCTATTATTGATTGATACCACATTTTCAAGTTTAGAATATATTAACTGTAAAAGCTGTAAGGAAAAAAAGTGACACAAATTTGTGTAGAACACTTAAAAAACAATATTCATGATATGAGGGATAAATTAGCAAATGAAGTAACTGATTTCAGAATTAACTAAAACATATGCTGTAATAAAGAAATGTAACATTATTAAAGAAAATGTAATAGCAAAAAAAAAAAAAATTAATTAATACAGCCAACCCACCAGTGTCAATCTGTTTTTGCCTGTGACAAAAACAAAGATCATTTGTTTCAATACAAGTTGTAAAAAAGTGAATACTAGTTTGTGAATAAAAAGCATGTCTACACCATTCAAAAACAGCATGCATTCCTTCCTGGTAAATTGATTTTTAAAAAATATTTATGTACCTTGTAAGTTTTTTTCTTTAAAAACAATAATTTTAGTTTTTTTTCTTCCTTGCCACTAAATTGAAACTCATTAATGTAAGTAATAAGAATTTCACCAAATGAACAATCTGCTAAGTACTGAGGGACACAAAAAAGAGAAAAAATTTTCTTTAAAAAAACAGGTTACAGACTTCCCAATTTTGACATGATTATCTACATGAAACCCTCTATTGCATAGTGAGAGAAAAGGTCACAAAAGTCCCATCACTGTACAAAGAAAAGGTCCCACCAACTAGTAAGATGCCGAATAGAGTAGTGACTCCCCAACCTAAGTGACAACAAAGGTCTAAAGATTTACAAGTAAGTTTTCCTATTAAAACATGACATTTATGCGACCAGCACATTACTGAGATTAAATCCATCTAATTTAAATTGCCACAGAGGTCATTTAAAGCAATCACAATCATCTGTGAAAATATTCAACAAGAGTTTTTTCTTTTCTCCAAGAAAAGGCTAAAATATTAGTCATCTCTACTTTCCAAGCTACTGGAAACAGAATAACATACATTAAAAAATACAAAGGAAAACTCCCTCCAATAAAGATCTGTTAGAGGTAGAAATTTAAAGCAGCATATACTGTTTAAGCTCCATCTATCAGGAAACAGAATTGGTGTTAATCTGAAATCACATGATGGTTGCTGCTTACAATATTGAAGACACAGATCATGGGCAGTAATTTATCCCTGAATTTCGTAATCAAAATTCACCACATTAATACTATTATGACAGTTTTTCCTATATAATTGTTTTAATGAAAAAGTGCTTGCTTTCATAATCCAGATAATCAAAGGAAAAGACATTATTGTAAACATCACACTGTCAAACTCTATTCATTTAGAGTCTGAAAATCATATATTTCAAATGGGTAAATTTTATTCTTATCTTCTCTGTTTCCTAGCACTACTTTTAATAAAGGCTTTTTATTTCTCACTTTGAACGTTGAGATCTATATATTTCAAAGTGATCCATGATGAGTATGCTTTCATAAAATGTTCAGTTTATTGTGGCCAAAAGACTTGATAATTTCTCAGTTACTTGAATGTAATTTACTGGCTGTGATGCTATTAAATTTAACATTTCATAAAAATGAAATGTTTGATGCTTAAGTTCATCTGAGCTAGAAAATACAAAATCAAATTAATCTGAATGATAGAAGAACAGACACAGGCCAGGCGTGGTGGTACACGCCTATAGTCCTAGCTACTCGGGAGGCTGAGGCAGGAAGATCGCTTGAGCCCAGGAGTTTGAGGTTACAGTGAGCTATGATCGTGCCACTATACTCCACCCTGGGAGACAGAGCAGGATCCTGTCTCTGAAGAAGAAAAAAAAAAAAAAAAAAAAAAAAAAAAAAAAAAAAAAAAAAAAAAAAAAAAAAAAAAAAAAAAAGGACACATTTTACGCATAGTTTTCTTAGATTGAAAGTGAATAAAGTCCCAACTCCAGAAGATGTTGAATATGACTCAGGATCCTTAGACTCTTCTAAAAGTAACATGTGCAATGCATACAAAACAACAAAAAAAGGGAAGATTATTAGGACCTCAATACTATTAGTCATTAATACGGCAGACTTGTAATGGACAGCATCATGAAGACATTGGAGATTAGGTATTTTTCATACTGAAACACAATTCTGGGCTTCAAGGAAAGGTATACTTCAAGACATTTCCTCCATTTTTACTTGTATAGTACAAATCTGCATGGCATAGTATATTTCTGAAAAAGCAATAGACATATTAAGAAAATAGACACTATTTCTAAATTTCATTAGGAATAAGAAGGCACCACTGATTTGAGGTTGTGTCCTGTCATCACTGATAGTTGATTTTGAGTCGTTTATTTCAGCATTTGTTCTTACTAAACTTTTTTCCAGGTGGTATCACTTGAGACCATTATTGTGGCTTACGGACCACAAACAAGACACATTCATAGTAGTATTTCATCATAGAGAGATCATTCACAGTATATGTTGACAACACAGATTCTTTTTCCACCTGCAATGCAAACAATAATCATAACACTGACTGTGACAGTCATGATGAGCACACCACTAACAAATTCAGAGCACACATGTATCAGTGGCAGGCACTATTTTAAGCATATTCATTTATTACATACAACTACTCCCCTAAGAAAGGAACTATTAATATTAGTAGTTTCACTTTAAAAAGAACGGTCACACTAGTAAGTGGTAGAACTGAGATTCAAACTCAGGCAGTCTTGAGCTCTAAACTACTATAATATATAGCTTTTTTTCATTCTTAAAAACAAATCTATTGTTTTTAAAATGGAATGTTTCGGGCCGGGTGCGGTGGCCCAAGCCTGTAATCCCAGCACTTTGGGAGGCCGAGGCGGGTGGATCACAAGGTCAAGAGATCGAGACCATCCTGGTCAACATGGTGAAACCCTGTCTCTACTAAAAATACAAAAAATCAGCTGGGCATGGTGGCGCATGCCTGTAATCCCAGCTACTCAGGAGGCTGAGGCAGGAGAATTGCCTGAACCCAGGAGGCGGAGGTTGCGGTGAGCCGAGATCGCGCCATTGCACTCCAGCCTGGGCAACAAGAGCGAAACTCCGTCTCAAAAAAAATAAATAAATAAATAAAATAAAATAAAATAAATAAAATGGAATGTTTCTAAATAAATGAACTGAAACACAATAGCCAAATATCATAAAACTTTATAGTAATGCAACTAATTTAAAAAATATCAGGCAGTACACAAGGACATATTCTGAATATCCCTCTTATACCTGCCCTCCCACTCACTTTTGTTTTCCCCAGAGCCTACTCTACTTTGTATCTATCAGTGAGAGTCTGCAAGGCCAGTATTATAATGATCAGCTACCATTTATTGAAAGGCAATTTCACTAGAAAGTAGAGTTTTCCCTTTAAGCACACATTATCCCAAATCCTTGAAAGCTAAGTAACACAGGTCAAGCATCCCTACTCTGAAAATCTGAAACACTCCAAAATCCAAAATGTTTTGAGCGCCTATATAATGCCACAAGTGACAAATTCCACAGCTGACTTCATGTGGCAGGTGCACAAAATTTTAAAATACTGTATACATTTACCTTTGGGGTATGCTTATAAGGAACATATATAAAACATAAATGAATTTCACATTTAGACTTCAGTTCCCACCCCAGATATGTCATTATGTATATGTATATATTGCAAAACTGGAAAAAATCCAAAATCTAAAACATTTCTGGTCCCAAGCATTTCGAATAAGGGATACTCAACCTGTATTATCTTCCCTTTATAGATAAGAAAACAGAGAATTTAAAAAGTAACAGCCATAATATCAACATTTCTGTTGAGGTACTGTGGAAGTTAAACTTTGGCAATATTTTATTTCATTCTTACCTCTACCTTGAATCCATACTGCAGAACAACGTTTTTTATATCCTCATAGCTCAATTCTATGGAAAGTTCATTTGCCAAATTTTCAAAGTGGTACAGCAGAGGACCTATGGTTTAAAGATACTATGAATTACTTGAATACACATATGCTCGTAGCTGTGTTACACTGAATTCCAAGTTGCATAAGTTAGGTACTGGATGAGATAAACATAAAAAGAAGAAACTTTACATTTGCTGAAAATGCCCACACCTCTGAAAATCTGGCCTAGTATCTGACACCCAAGAGCTGGGCCTACACTCATGGGGAATGAGTCCCTCTGGTATACCTGCTTTGCACTGTGATTCACACCATAGGCCTTCACCTTCAACTTTTAAGTTACTGAAGGAGTAGATGAATCAGAGACTGATGTTAAGTCCTCAGATTCCAAATGTATTCTGCAATTATAATTCTGTAAGTAAATGTAAAACTGCAGTTACAAACTGCTTATCAAATGAAAAAGGAGAAGGAGCCTCAAGTTAACCTAGGTATTAAAAGGTGGACAGAAGTTATAGGGAAGATTTCCTAAAAGAAGGAAGTAACGCTAGAGCTGGCTTTTTAAAAATGCACTGTTTATATCCCAGCTCTAATAGCTAATAATTGTGTGTCTATGGGCAATTCACCAACTCTGCTTCATCTATAACGACTTTTTTCTTTTTTTTTTTGGAAATAGAATCTCACTCTGTTGCCCAGGCTAGGGTGCAGTGGCGTGATCTTGGCTCACTGCAACCTCCACCTCCCAGGTTCAAGCGATTCTCCTTCCTCAGCCTCCCGAGTAGCTGGCATTACAGGCACCTGCCATCATGCCAGGCTAATTTTTGTATTTTTAATAGAGACAGTTTTTCACCATGTTGGCCAGACTGGTCTCAAAACCCTGAACTCAAGTCATCGGCCTGCCTTGGCCTCCTGAAGTGTTGCAATTACAGGCATGAGCCACCATGTGTACCCTGTAATATGACTTTAATGTGAGATAATATGTATTACACCTGTCATAAACAAGGTACTAAGTAAATGACAGGTATTACACTATTTTTACGACATCCTCTCTTTATTATTTTCTCATTCCATACATTCAAGAAACATATGATTTAAAGGATGACTTTCAAATCTTTCACTCTATCATTTTGCCCAATCTATCAGCCTCATCCAGGATCCATTATCACTTAATACAGTTATACCTCAGACTAATCTAGACAATCTTCTCTTTACCTTTCATTGGGTAATTATAAATCCTGCAACCAGCTCTCTACACCTACTCCTCATACAATGTGCTAATCATGGAAGATAAAAGTATTTAATAACAAGACAAAGTTTCTGCTACCAAGAGGCTTACTATTTTGTGCACCATACTAAGGGTAAAAAAGCTTTTCTTCCTCTCTCCTTTCTCTTTCCTACATAAATGACTAGAAAAAATGACCATGAATATAATGTATATGTTACTGCTACTTACAAAAGATAATGGTTCCTTATCAAACTACTCTATTCAGCTTAAATTTGTTATATTAGTAAAACTGATCATTTTCTACCATTTCCCTGAGTACTGCTATTTCCTGGACTATCTAAAGCTTATATAAGAATGCAGAGCCTCACAGCAGAGTCTTTCCAGCTTTTGAAGATTATGCTGTTCCTACTCCATTAAAAGCCTCCAATAACATAGTTTAATTATCTCTACATACATGTATTCCAGTGATTTTTACATACTTGGACCATCATTACCTCTACCTATGGTGTGTTCCACCTAGAAAGCTCCACCCCTCCAACTCAAGCTTCAGCCATGCTTCAAAACCTTGCTGAAATCCATCCAAGTCTTCACCCCAACTGCTCACTCTTCTTTAATATGGCATATTTTACATGCATTTAATGCAGTGTTGCATTGCTCACTGAAAATTTTTCAGCTAATTAGCACTGTTTACTCACTAGATTACAAGTTATATAAGTCAAGGAACACATCTCAAGTTTCTTTTAAACTCATCACAATGCCCTGCTTAGTGCTGAATTTATAAATTTTACCAAAGACAATAGCTGTAGTGTATAATTTTAGTCTTCTAATACAATGGTACTTTGACAAATATCCTTGTGCATATTTTAGATTATCCCTTACAAAGATGGTTCTTGAAGGCCAGAGAATGAACATTTTTACTGACTTGATTCAGACTGCCAAAAATGCTTTCCCAAAGAGTTGTAAGTTTTCACTGACAACTGCAATAAGTACTTGTTTCAATATCTTATATTAAGTGGTGGGAATGCAATGTACAGTCACTTTGGAAAACACCTAGCCAGTTTCTTGTAAAGTTATAGATATGCTCACTGTATGTGACCTAGCAATTCTACTGTTACGTATTTACACAAAAGAAATGAAGATTTGCAGCCACACAAAGATTTATACTCATGTTTAATGCAACTTTATTCATTTATACTCATGTTTAATACAACTTTAATCACAATAATTTGGGAATAACCCATACATCTACCAACCAGTGAATGGATAAACAAAATGTAATATAGCAAATGGAAAACTACTCAACAATAAAAAAGAACACCACAATGGTACATGCAACAAAATGATGATCTCAAAAGGGTAATGCTAAGAAACCCAGAGACAAAAAGCGGCATACTGTATGATTCTATTTATATGACATAGAAAAGGGAAAACTATAGTTAACAGAATCCAAAGTAGTGACTGCATGGTATTAGGAGTAAAAGGAGAGAAAGGAGTACAAGGGGACGTTTTGGGGTGATGGAAATGAAAAGATTTACTGTCTTGATCGTGTCCATGGTTATACAATTATCCAGTTTTCAAAATGCGTCAAACTGTACGTTTGTAAAAAGGGTGAATTTTATATGTCAATTATACCTCCAAAAAATCCAACTTAAAAAAAAAAACACAACAAGAATTTTTATTAAACAAACTATTTGCTAAATTCTAAAAGGGAAAATTACATATATATATGTAATTTGAATTTGCATCTCTGCGGCTGTGCAGTTTTTCATACTTATGACTTAGTTGCCCATTTTTTAAACAAGTGTTTACCAAGCACCTAGCTAATGTCTGGCACTGGATATATATGAAGATGAATAAAAGAGAGACACATTCCTCAAAGGGTTCTTTATTTTCTTAACTCTTGTGTCTCTTCATATTCTTTAATTTTTAATTTTTTTTTTTTTTTTTTTTTTAGAGACAGTGTCTCATTATATGACCCATGATGATTTAGAATTCTTTCAAGCAATCCTCTTGCCTCAGTCTCCCAAATAGCTGGGACTACAGGCATGCAACACTACACCTAGATTTCTTCATATTCTTTTAGTGGCCATAACAGAAGGAGCAAAAATATATTTTTTCCTTGATCATAAGATCAAAAGTAGAAAGGTGAGATAACATGAAAAAGCATTAAAAAATCAAAAATCACCTCTAAGCCTAACATTCAGAGTATGCACTTGAATATTTCCTTGTGGTCTTTCCTCAATGTATAGTATATTCTACATATAGTTTTACATCTTATACTTCATTAGGAACATTTCCTTATTTCATTATTTCTAGAAAATAGTTTTACTGTATGAAAGTCTTATGACAATCTACTCCATTACTGTTAGAAATGTAAGTTCAGTCTAAGTTCTTCCTGAATATGTCTGTTCATTTCATCAGTCTTTAGTCTGCCCATATCTGATTACTTTCCTCTGACAGCCTTCTAGAAGTATAATTAATCTAATAAATATTGGTAATAGTGAATTAATTATGTAACAAGCCAGATGGCAAATATTTGAGGCTTTGTGTGCCACATACAGTGTCCAGCATATATTCTTATTTATGTTTTTTCCTGTTACTCTTTAAGAATATAAGAAATACTTATAGTGGTAGGGCCATACAAAAATAGGCTGCAGGCCAAATTGGCCTATGGGCTGTAGTTTGCCAACCCCTGACTAAACGTATTAATATTTAAGGGTTTTCCACACATTATTTTGTAGTACCTTACTGTTTTTCCAGAAGAAAGTCATATCATTTTACATTCCCACTAGCAGAACAAGAGCACGGCCTATCTCACCATAATTACCTAAGCTTTTAAATAAGTAAATTTTAAAACCTAGTGAATATGATAGGTGAAAAATGGTAGCACATTTCTATTTATTTGACTAACAGTGAGAAAGAACATTTTTTTCTGTATACAGGTTGTTTACATTTATATTCTTTTTTTTTTCATTTTTTTACTGAGTGTTGGGAGTCTTGCACTGTCACCCAGGCTGGAGTGCAATGCCATAAGCGTAGTTCACTGCAGCCTTGAATTCCAGGGCTCAAGTGATCCTCCCACCTCAGCTCCCAAGTAGTTGGGACTACAGGCACATGCCACTACACCTGGCTAATTTTTAAATTTTTTTTTTAGAGAAAAGGGTCTTCCCATGTTGCCCAAGCTGATCTACAAATCCTAGCCTCAAGCGATCTGCCTGGTTTGACCTCAGAAGTTACTGGGATTACAGGCATGAGCTATGTCATCCAGTTTTTATCTTTTTAAATAACTTGCAACTTATGTTGTACAGCCTATTTCATTTCTGGGTAGTTTTCTCTTTTTTCCCCCCTTTAAATAATTTTTTAAAAAATCTAAACATATAGTTTACAGTTGATATGGTTTGGCTTTGTGCCCCCACCCACTTTTCACATCGAATTATAATCCCCACATGGAGGGAGGGACCTGGTGGGAGGTAACTGGATCATGGGGGACAGCTTCCCCCATGCTGTTCTCATGAGACTGAGTTCTCACAAGATCTGATGCTTTAAAAGTGGCAGTTCCTCCCTCACCTTCTCTATCCCCCGCCACCTTGTGAAGAAGGTGCCTGCTTCCCCTTCTGCCATGATTGTAAATTTCCTGAGATCCCCAGCAATGTGGAACTGTGAGTCAATTAAATCTCTTTTGTTTATAGATTACCAAGTCTCAGGCAGCATCTTTATAGCAGTGTGGAAATGAACTAATATAATCATTAAAGAAAAAAAAAAACATATAAAGGAACTTTTGCTTCTTGTAAAGGCAGATTAGGTCATTCGGGCCTACACTCGTATTGCAAACAATTAAAGCTGGTGGA